TGGTACTATCTTCGGTCCCAAGCTAATCGATGCACCCTCAGAGGAAGAGGTGACAATTGGCTTCTTCCTCTTTTGTTTCTATCTTTATCTTACGCACATGAAATCGGCCAATCAGGAGCTGGTTCACGTTTGACAGAAAAGTGGTTCATTTTCGCCCACGTATTGTCACCTCTTTTCTTAGGATGCACCCCTCGAAACATAGGAAAATCCACGAACCCCTCATTTTATCTGTCAAACTTTCATATACACGGTAAGAAAAAAGTACCCAACGGCCACTTCACTTTTACCTACTTTTGACTAGTTTGTCTCCTTTTCTCCTACTAATGTTGTCAAAAACGAAGGAGCAAAACCACCCAACAAGGGTAGTAAAGTGTGGGAACCCAACGTCGAGTATAATCATATTTACCTACTGTTGGGTACAACTAACTTACTTTTGGTTAAAAAGTCAGTGGAAAATTCCATACGAACTGCACACAAGTAAATGAAAATTACTTTGACCCGCTTTACCTACTTTTGGGTTCCTGCACTAAAGGGTGTCCACGATGAAATTGCCACACACAAAATTGATTCGCAAAATTCGAGTTTTCATCCGATTGCCATCAAATTTTCAGGGATTGAGAAATAACTATTAAACTTCATTTTACCATTTTACTCGTATTTTATTTACAGTCCATACGCAAATGCCCGCACCTTGGCCTTAATCCCGGCCATAAGATTCTGCACAACCTGTGAATCAACCGTTTTTTGCATGTAAACCCATACTTTCTTCAGTTCCTCGACTGTCTTCACTACCTTAGGTCGTTTAAGAAGGTGCTGCTTCATAATCGCCCAGTACTTCTCGATGGGGCGGAGCTCCGGAGTGTTGGGAGGGTTGAACATTTTCGGCACGAAATTGACCTTATTGTCCGCATACCACTTCAGCACGTCCTTGGAGTAGTGGCATGAGGCCAAATCCGGCCAGAAGATTGTTGGGACGTTGTGGGCCTTCAGGAGAGGAAGCAGCCGCTTCTGGAGGCACTCTTTTATGTAACCTGTCCGTTCATCGTGTCCTGGGTCACGAAAGGTGCACTCCGCTTCCCGCACGTGCAGATGGCTTGCCAAACCAGGAATTTCTTCGCAAATTTGGACATCTTTTAAGTGCGGACATGCTCCGGAACGCTGAACTTATCCTTGGCCGTGAAAAACAGGTTGCCGGGGATCTGTTTGAAGTCGGCCTTCACATATGTTTCGTCGTCCATGATGCAGCATTCAACTTTCGTCAGCATGTTGAGGTACAACTTCCTGGCACGGGTTTTGGCGGACTTGTTCTGCTTCCCGTCGCGATTAGGGGCTTTTTGTACCTTGAACGTTCGAAGCCCAGCCTTAGTTTTGGCCTTCTGAACAAAACTTCGGCTTACGTGCAGCTTCTTAGCCACATCCCTAACGGAGGCGTTCGGATTTCGGTTGAAGGCCCCAACTACGCGGTTGTGATTTTTGGTGTTGTACGGAATACTTTTTCCTTCACTTCTGGGCTTCCGATCGGTGGTCAACCGTTCCTCGAACCGCTTAATCAGTCGCGACACCGTGGAATTCGCGATTCCCAACGTTTTAGCGATGGAACGATGCGAGAAATCCTTGTTCTCGTGATGAATGCGCAAGATTTTATCACGCACGAGCTGTTCTTTCGACTCCATTTCCGCGAGTTTTGATCACAGGACTTTAAAACTTGCAGGATGTAAATAATGCACTATGAACTAAATCCACCCAAATTTTCATTAAATTCTACCCAACGGTTAAAAAGTTAGAGCAATTTCATAGTGTGGCAATTTCATCGTGGACACCCTTTATAGTGCCGAGATGAGTGAAAAGAACTTAATTTTGGGTACTTTTTTCTAACCGTGTAGATAGTCAAAACAAACATAGTGTAGTACTAGAATTTCAACTAGATTGGGGTACGTTAATCGATTTGCTTGGGACCAATACTCGGACCAATGGGCTAGTCAAGTCGTGAGCTAATTTAAAAACGTTAGTTTCCACCGGCTGATAATATTCTGCGGTATTCGCTGCAAAGGATGATAGAAAATGCAACTAACATTGAATGTAATAAATTTTTGGTTTGCGTGTATGAAAGTTTTGATAATTTAAAAATTTTGCGGTGAGGTATACGATTACAATCTTAGAATGCATTTATTTTGCAAACAAACTATTTTAATAAAATCCGATTATTGCTTCGTTAGTAGAAAACTCAATAAACAATAAACAATTTAATGTATATTCAGATTTTTAGATGTGTACATAGAATTCAACTTTTCTACCATCGTAGAAGTAAACATATTAAAAAAAATGTTCCATTTGCAAGATAAAAGTATTTTAAAGTTGCACTCGTATACCTCAAAGTGATCATCACGTTCGTAGTTGTGCTATTCTCCGCTGGGGTTAATTTGATTTGCTAATATGCGATCGATTCAACCTCTCTGGTGGTAGAACGTAAAACCACAAACGAAGTGACAGACGGAGCGGCTCCAAAACTTTGGTGACTAACCTGCTATTTCAATTTTTCAGTGTACCACATGGCAACACCACTACTACTGGATTGTACCACATGGCAACACTACTATTAGATTGAACTAGCATTTTCACCAAATGTACTAGAATGTTTTGGTTCTATCTCATTCACTCTACTCAAAACTGAAATGCATAAAAAAATGACAAAATGATACGCACTCTTTGCACACTGTCAAAGAATCATTGTACACAAAATCAACTTTGTTCAAATCAAAACAAAAAACTAACCCATCTGGTGGATGATGGCACAAGCTTCCAAGAAAATTCTATTACAGTGAACCACATTATTTTAATGGATTTCTTCGCCAGTATGTCGTCTGTAACTTCGTTTGTGGTAAAACAGAGTGTCGTGAGCAGAATTTTGCCGTGAGGCATAGAAAGTGGATTACTTTTTCACTTTTCCTGATAAATTGATTCATCTGAGAGCTCCAAAACATGCTCTATAGTTGATTTATTTCAATTTTTACAATGATACAGCGCAATTTTTGCATACAGCACACTATGTTCGACACAATGTTCGACACTATGTTTGACGTACAGCACAAGATTGTTCGATTGTCGCGTGTGAGGTTGTCCGGTTTTCAACTGTACCGATAATATCGACAGCTCAAAGCACATAGTTTCTCTTTTTATCGGTTTGCCAAACTCAATCAAATTAATTCAATTTCCTATCCCGCAAAAGTTATCCTACGACCGAACAAAACTCATCTGCATGTCTGAAGAATGCAGTCGTTTGCTCTCTAGTCGAAAGAATACAAAAACCACAAACTCAGACCACAGAAAAACAGACGTTACTCTTTCTCTTCAATCCTCGTACACATACGTTTCTAATCATTCTATCGAACTTGTATGCAACTTTGATGGAGACTAGACAAGCTTTTTCCGCGGATAGCTCACGAGATTAAGTAAGTAAGTTTCGTGACGATATTAAAAAAAAAAAAATTCAAAGAGTTACGTCGGTTTGTCTGTGTTCAGACCAATTTACACCCATCGTTCCCCTGAGATCAGAGCAAACCAGCCGATATTCTCACCGGTTTGTCGTCTGGTTCTGCCCATTCGCAGGACCAATTTTCTCCAAGATTCGCACACCGCTGTCACCACCATTCTCCCCGCCCGCCAGTTCGTTAGTTCTATATAGGTATCTAACAGAGTTTTGTCTACATCACAGTCACAAAGTGCAACCAAAGGGGAGGCAATATTACCATAAATGCAAATTTTGCGTGCACCTAATTGGTCTTGTGTTTGGTCCGTTTGTTTACTTCAAGCTTTTAAACTGCCGCCACCCAATCACTGCCCTCTGCCTCTGCCCTTGAATTTGACGGTGAACGCCGGTCTTGCGATATTCGACAAATAATTAAATTGAAGCCAAAGTGTGTGCCCAGATGGACGCTACCTATAAATTCAATTTTCCATTGATTTTGTCGTGCACCACCACCGCCGAGGATTAGCAGCGTGTGATAGAAGAAGTGGGACATAAACTTTTAAAGTCACCGCGCCGCCGTGGTGGCCCTTCTAGTTGCGTGTTCCGCCCATTTCAGATCCTGGTAGTCTGGTAGGGTTGTCGGAGTTGAAATATGCAAATGAGATACAATTAAAAGGCAACTAAAGAGTTGATCTTTCAACGCTCCTTTGTGGTGACTAGGAGTGGTACATACTGCACTCAAGAAAGCCGCTGCTGATTGACTCGAGGCTTTAAAAGTTTAGTTGCAGATAGTCATAATGGTCATCGTGCTGCTGCAAAGTGGCACCCAATTATGTCAATAGTGAGAACGTATGTAGCTTGTGCGCGCCATAAGCTAACTTACACCGTGCCATGGGGAGAGGATCAAATATTATACGTAGACCTTCGTGGAATGTAGATGTACGAGTTTGAATTGGAAATTGATTTATGGGTGGTTCAAAATATTGATATTGCTCCACCCAGCTCAATCGATGCTCAATCAGGTCCTGTTAGTTCTCCCATAATTTGAGCTCATTTGGTTGAGATGCACTGCACTGACCGTATCTATCTATCCTATTTATCCGTAAATCATTAAAAAGAAAGCGAAGACAACATATCAAAAATGCTTTGCCAGAATCTAAGTGACAGATACAGTAGCGCTACGCTTGAGCGAAGATGGAAGCAATAGTATTTACCTATGAGCGGCAGATGATGCGATTGTGCCTGTCTCACAGCGAACGTATGTGAAAACGGAAGACCTACCAGTCTTCTTGATATGTTGTCTGTGGAGAAGGACAATGACGAGTTCACTTTTTGAATAGTGGTTCCTATTACAAACTTGTTACAAGAGCAGTTTTAAATCGCAACCAAATGAACTAAAATGTTGGGAGAATGATCAGGACCTAAATTGACATCGATTGATCGATATTTTGAACCATCCATGCTGCTTCCATTAGATGTTAATACATGATCAAAGCAGTCTGTTTACCAGAGCCACACAAAACGGCTGTCTGAAATGTCTAAACCATTTCAACATTGGCGCACGTCTCAATCGGTCCAAAAATCCAAACTACGCCAGAAATCGACCCAATTCGCTCTCGGCCTAGCCCTAGGACTTTTCAAAACCCTCACGCTGTACTTCCTGCTGCATCATCAGTTCGGCATCGATCGGCAAACCACGTGCATCGTAGCCGCCATCTTGGGAACTCTGTTTACCATCTTGTCCTGCTGCAGTTCCAGCTTCCAGTGCGTTATCCTTCTGATGGTCCCGCAGGTGTTGGGTAAACGGGGGCGGGCAGCGACGGTTGCCTACGTATTTGTACTGGCCATCAATGGTCCCGCGAGGAATACGATCGCCAACATTGATGTCCTGGGCAAGGCACTCAGTTGCAGCCAGGATCGACTGAAGGTGGCGATCCACGAAGCTCTGCAAGCGGTGAAGGTCCCATTTTTGGCTTTGAAAAAGGCAATCGGAGTAATTTTGAACGAGGTAGAGCGAGCCTTCATGAAAGTTCAACGGATTTTGATGGAGATTCTGAGGCTGGTCAAGAGGATTCGTAAGATGGACTTGGTTAACGCAGAAGAAGAGTTATAATGACGATAATTTCTTGCAGTGAGCAGCATCAAGGCTGGATACCGGTGGCTGGGAAACGTAGTTGCTGTTTGCAATCAGAAGACCGGATCGCCGTTTGAACGGTGCTTTCGGGCGTTGGAATCAGCGGTGGAAGATTGCAAGCGCAAGCTGGGACCAATGGAATTCTTGTGTGAGGTGACCCACGTTGCGAAAGTCGTTTGCTATAGCGTTAAGGTCATGGACTATATCTGCGAACTGATCGACTTTGCCAGTGACAACATCGTAGAAGCGATTGAGCAGAGTTAGTTTATTGAACATTATCGATAGGGCGTGTCTTGCACAAATGTCCTTATCATTTCAGAACTTCAAGCGTTCATACACAAAATACAGGTTATGTTCCGGGTAAAAGTCGACTTCGACCATGCGTTCGAATTCACGACCAATTCGTCGAAAAATTACTCCCAAATAACCAACGAAATCACGCGGGAAATCAACGAAAGAAGCAAATTGCTGTTCAGTCTCTTCAATGTCTTCACTGTCGTTTCAAGCTTTTGTTTCGTTTGTGTTATCATTAGGTAATCTGAACCGTGCATTAGGTCATCCACAAACTCACAGGTTCCTTTCAGATCCGTAAGATATAAAATGAAATACCTAACGAAGGACTCGTTTGATAACTTCTACATCAGTCACGACTTTTTGGCTATTGATCAGCATCGTCGTGGGATGAACCGAGATACGATTCTGCCGTTGACCCGCAAGGAACGAAACCGTTTCATCAACCTGAACTCGATTTCCCTAATCAGAAAGGAGAAGCTGCGAATCGCTCGCACTGCCGTGTTTCTGTTCATGTCTTCGATTCAGATTCTGGGATTGATCGCTGCCGATTACTGTCTGTACTGGCTACTGGCGACAATTCGCTATGCCGCTCTGAGAGAATCGGACATCGAACGACCTCCAATGGTCACGCTGGAGGTGAGCGGATCGGGCATAGTGGCCGATATGTACCGCGGAATCGTGGGAGCCTTCGAACCGATGGTCAAACACGTGGACATCTTGGATCCGGAACGATGCGCCCCAGATCCAAAAACTCCCAACTATGTTCGGTACTTGCAAATAAGTCTGCTCCTACTATTCTGTTGGATCTGTATAGTACTGGAACCGTACGGCTTACGGGTTCGGCAGCTCATCATGAGAGGATACTATCCGGAGAGGGCACGGGAGAGGGCCACCTGGTTGTACAACGATATTCTACTGAAGAGGGAGTCCTTTGTCAAGGTTGTTCGACGGCAGATGAGGTTTGACAAAGGAGATCATAAGCCAGGAAACTGGATTGACGTGATAAGAGCGAAGACCAATCGGTTTTGGATCTGTCGGAAGGTGTTTGGAGCAGGTGATGGTAAGAAGTGTATTCTATGTAGTGAAAGACTAGCGAAGAATGAAGCTGTTGGATGTCTGCGACCGGGATGCGTTGGGACGTACTGTTACGAGTGTTTCCTGGAGATCCAGAATGTGTGCTCGATCTGTTCGGAACCGATGGATTCGAGTGATCAGAGTGATGTGTCAGTTGAAAGGTAATTATGAGTGGACTTTGTTGGAAGTTCATCGACAATCGTTAGTTTCCGTTATTTTTAGGGATTCATCTGAAGAAGAACGAATTATTGCCTGACGAGTGCTGTAGGATCGTCAATTTTAAACCTGTGAACCACTATTAGACCAAATGAATAGTATTTATTGAACTTTAATCTAAATATTGAGTAGTTCCACGCCAATTGACTCGATCATCTCCGATTTTCAGGAAACTTTGCATAGTGTTTGCTAAATTGTTTGAAATTTTTGCTAATATAATCTTGCATTTTTTTCCAAAATGGCGTATTCAACATTTTTCAATAAATCGAAGCACGAAAACTTTACTTCTAATATAAAAGGCATCTGAGACAAAGTTGCAGGGAAAATTTAAGCAAAATATACAAAGTAAAAGTTTTTATGAAATTTTGAGAAAAAAAAAAATCAAAATGTCATTGTTAATTTTTTTTATTTATAAAAAAAGGCTTATGGAAAATGCAAACTTTTGGAATATTGAAAACCTTGGATACTTAACAATATTGTCCAAAATCGTAGTACATTAGCTTTTGGTAAATTTTTGAACACTAACCCGATTTTTAATATTTTTTGTATAGGAAACAATATTTACGACCTTTTTAATTGTTTTCCGTACAAAATTACAAAAACAAAAAACCATTCAAGTAAAATGTTTAAAAAACTAACCAAAAGTTTATGTTCCGTGATTTTTGGCAAGTTTCAAGAGTTCATGATTTTAAATATTCCAAAGGTTTACTTTTTTCATGAGAAATTAAAAAAAACGAAACAATTGAAGGTATACTTTTTGAAATATTTGAGTTTTTCATTACTTACTAAAACAAAATACCATGTAATTTTTTATTCCAGAAAGACTTTATTTTTCCCTACAATTTTGTCTCAGATGTCATTACAAACAGAAATGACATTTTCATGCTACAATTTATTGAAAAATTATAAAAAAGGCAATTTGGAAAAAAATAGAACATCCAAATGGCCGCATTTTTGTTAAATATTTGATCGTAGAGATGAACCAGCCTAAGGCTGAAAATCTCGTTAATAAAGGAAAAAAAAAAAAAAGTTAAATATTTGAATGATTACCCACAACACGCAATTATGCAAAGTTTTATGTAAATCGGAGAAGTTACAGTTTTTTCCGATTCGTTATTTGGCGTGGAAACACTCATAAAGTTCTCAAAATTTTCCTAAAGTTCTCGCAAATTTCCTGACGTTCAGGGGACTGCTAACTTTCTTGAAATTTTCTGGACTTTGTTTTTAGAACATATGTAATATTCTGCAATTTTTCTGAAGTTGATCGATCGGCCTTGTAGTTCTCAAAACTTTTCTGAAATTTTTGGAATTTACCAAAATTTCGCAATTTTTTTTATGTTCAGGGAACTGTACTGAAGTTCTCATAACTTTCCCACAGCTCTTTGACTTTTCCTAAACATACTTAAAGATACCTGAAGTTATCTTAAATTTTTTTAAGTTCTTGTAAAATATCGGAAATTTTTTAGAAGTTAATGGACCTGTCATGAAGTCCTAAAGTTCTCAGAAAATAACCTTAAAGATCTTTTAAGCTTCCTTAAGTTCTGAACTTTCTTTTAGTTTACAGAACTTACCTGATGTTTTTGAATCTTCGGAATGACCGAAGAGCTTATCGGAGGAGATTTCAATGCTTGGGCAGTGGATTGGAGAAGCAGATGTACCAACGCAAGATGATATAGTCTTTTTGATGTACCAACGCAAGATGATATAGTCTTTTTGATGCTCTGGCATAGCTGGAAGTTAGTTTGAACAACCATCAGCACATACCGGCACTTTCTGCAGTTCGTTGTTGGTAGCAAATATGAACTGGAGAGTGTGCCTGGGGTACACCCATAGCGACCATCAGGCAATCCGATATATCATCGGCTAACGGAGACCTGTAGCGGATGAGATCAAGCGTGTGGAAGTGGAAGACGAAGGCTTTCCACAAAGATCTCTTTGTCGAAGCACTGTGTGTAGACAGCGGCCTATCGGACCTGAATTCGGACGAGTTGACAGAAACGTTAGCGAGGGCATGTGAATTCCAGTCTATTTGTACCCTCGTATCCTCGATAGATGATCAACCATCCACCAAAACCTCATTAAGACTAGAATATATCTAGTTGGTCCATCCTGGAGAAGGTTCCGAAGCCTATATTCTCGAAGCTCTTCAAGATTGATTTACTGCAAAAAGGTTGTTTGACAAACGCATTGAGAACCACTTAAAACCCGCATTTAAGCTACAATAAAAGCTATCGGCAACAACTAAAACCTTTTTCGAGCCATTTTCCTTAGCTGCTTGCTAAACTCCCTAGAAAAACTATCAATCAAGATAGAAAAGGTTTCATAAATACCATCCGATTTTATCAAAATTATTCAAATAAAAACTGATCGTAAAAAAATCCAGATGAATTTCTAAAACTATTTAAGTAAAGAGTGTACCGTTTAAAATCCGCACACACAAAATTCATTCTCAAAATTCGAGTTTTTATTCCATTATCACCAAATTTTCAGGGAATAAAAAGAGTTTATTAAAGCTAGTTTTGAAATCGATCATTTAATTTATTTCGCCTTTATATCCGAATGCGCGAACCCTGGCCTTAACCCCATCCATAAGATTTTGCACGACCTCAGAATCGACAGTTTTTTTTGCATATTAACCATATTAACCCATGCTTTCTTCATTTCTTCTACATTCTTCATCTTTCAGCACGAAATCGACATCATTCGCCTTATACCGCTCGCATGATGCCAAATCCGGTCAGAAGATCGTCGGACCGTCGTGAGCCTTCAGGAGAGGGAGAAGCCGCTTTTGGAGACACTCTTCCAAATACACCTGTCCATTCATGGTGCTTGCGGTAACGAAAGGTGTACTCCGCTTTCCGCAAGTACAAATCGCTTGCCAAATTAAGAACTTCTTGGTGAATTTCGACATCTTCTGTGTCCGGAGGTTCTCGAGAACATCACACTTATCCTTGACAGTCACATACAGGTTTCCTGGAATCTGGTTGAAGTCCGCCTTCACATATATCTCGTCATCCATTACGCAGCAGTGTGGTTTCGTTAACTTCTGGTCGTACAACTTCCGGGCACGGCTTTTTGCGACCGTATTCTGTTTCTCGTCACGGTTTGGGGACTTCTGAACCTTAAACGTACGTAGTCCAGCTCGAGTTTTGATATTCTGCACGAAAGTATTGCTCACATGCAACTTTTTAGCCACATCTCGAACTGAGGCGTTCGATTTCCGTTTAAAGGCCCCAACCACGCGTTCGTTCTCGTTGACCTGACAGCTTTTTTCCGCATCCTCGCTTCCGATCAACAGTCAGACGTTCTTCGAACCGTTTTATGGCACCAGACACAGTGGAATTCGCAATTCCCAACTTTTTTCGCGCACGCACTGTTCTTTCGTTGCCATTTTGAAAACTTTTACGCACCTGATGAATTAAACTCACATAGTGTAAACAATACACATTAGACTATGTCTGCGCCAAATTTCAGTTAATTTTACCCAATGGATCAAAAGGTAGAGCAATTTGAGTGTGTGCTTTAGTTATCGTGATCGAAAATTATATTGTCCATGATTTCATTAGCACTCCAAACGCTGGGTCATATGACTTCCGTAGAGCTGACCATCGCAGTATTGTCCATGTGCTGTATAACCTAGATTGGGAGCATATTCTACATCCTGTAGACGTCAACATTGCTGCACAAACCTTTTCTCACGGCTTGGCATATGTCATTGACAGACACGTTTCCAAAAAGAGCATCCATATCGACTCTCGCGTCCCGTGGATGACGCAAGATCTTTGCTCGTTGAAAAGAACTAAGAAGGCTACTCTCAGAAGAATTACTAAATTCCACACACTGCCGCTGAAATGCTACTATGTCAGACTCAACCACGATTATAAGCGGTTAAGTCGTCTCTGTTTTCAACGCTATCAACGGCGGCTAAAATCACACCCAGCCGGCGCCGGTGGTGTAGTGGTAAGCGTGACTGCTTTCTTACCCCAATGTGTCTGAGTTCAATCCCAGTCGAGGTCGGTGGGATTTTTCTGAGGCATAAACATCTCTGGTCACGTCTTCTTTCGGAAGGGAAGTAAAGCCGTTGGTCCCGACCCATGTGTGTTTGAATGGGTGCGATATCCTACGCAGGTGTGGAAGCTGCCTTCCTGCACATTCGATTGCCGTCAATGGATGGCAATCGATGTCCGTTGGTGATTGGCACTAGATTGCGGAACAGAGAACGACGTTAAATAATGGAAAGAAGAAGAAGAAGAAGAAGAAAATCACACCCGAAATCCTTCTGGAATTTCGTAAATGAGCAAGGCAGGGAAGTCGGCTTACCCTCTTCCATGATTTGTAATGCTAAAACTGCTGGCAATCAACAAGACATTTGCAACCTGTTCTCAGCCAAATTTGCTAGTGTGATTGAAGACGAATAACTCTCCACTAATCTCATTACTTTCGCGGCTAGAAATGTTCCTTTGGTCAACCAAACGCTTAGCGTTGTCGACGCCACTACAGATACGATTTCTAGAGCAGCATCTAAACTTACGACTTCAGCTAAGGCTGTACCCGATGGTGTTCCGTCGATTATTCTTAAAAAGAACATCACTTGTCTTTTAGATCCACTGCGCCGCATATTCCAGCTCTCTCTTTCCAGCGGCATCTTTCCGTCTTGCTGGAAGACTGCGGATATGTTTCCTGTTCATAAAAAGGGAAGCAAACGCGACGTAAACAACTACCGGGGAATCACGTCACTGAGTGCTGTATCAAAACTTTTTGAATTGGTTGTCATAGAGTCCCTAAATGCGCATTACAAGCAATAAATATCTAAGTATAGATCAATACGGATTCATAACTGGGCGTTCCACAACTACGAATCTGCTGTGCCTAACGTCTTGCATCACAGACAGTTTGATTGCTCGGACCCAACCGGACGTTATCTACACAGATCTTACGACAGCCTTCGA